ATGAAAACTCTCTGGGTCCTACCCTGCTCAGCATCCACAGTTAGGAAAGGTCTGATATTTTTCCCGTGCTTCAACTTCTGTGTTTGTGTTTTTGTACATATGCATGTTTTTGTTTATTTCCTCAATAATCATGTATATCGTGTTTATATGGATGGTTTTAGTGATGGATATACTGAAAAAGAAGTTGGTAGCAATCTAGAAGTGGTTCCAAATTGTTGGCATCTTAAGCCAGAAAAAGCAATCCAAAGCTACAAAACTGCTTAGGTATCTAGATTCATTAGGCATCTTCATTTTGGCCAGAAAAGATTGTTAGGTGCTGAGGCCTAAGCTGTTGTGTACACTCAGAAGCAACCCAGGTTGGCCATCTAGGTACCTAACTCCTGTCTCACATCAGTTGTAATCATAATCTGTGTGGAAGGAGCCTGGCATATATCTAAGTCCCCAATTCTTTAGTTAGTGACAGAGCATAGAGCAGGCTTAGCAACTGTTTCATAGCAGCAGTAGTTGATTACAAAAATAGTCATGGTGGTGGCATCAGCAGCCCCTTCACTTAGTGCCCTGGAAGTGGGAGGCCTGGGTTATTAGCCCACCTCTGCCTCAGGGGACTTAAATCCACAGCTCTCAATTCCTAGACGAGTTCCCTACCCAGCAGATTATGGAGTAGAGGTGTATAGACACCCTTGTTGATGAAACTGGGGCACTGGGCCATCAAGACTACAAGATTCTTGGGATGAGAGGGGAAAGCAAGCAAAAGGGAGTGTGACTCTGTGGCCCAGTGGTTAAGGAATCCAGCTTGGGAAATTTTGGGTTCAGATGCCCGCTGCTAGGTTTACAATATTTATACATTTTTTCATTAGAAAGTTATTGGCTAAAACACAGAAATAACCTGTCAGAAATCAAGAACTCCCCACTCCCATGGTAGTATCTTCTTCACTGGGTCATAGACTCACACTGTCTGACCTGCTGTCCTTCTGGCCCCATGAATACTGCACCCTTGGCTCCTGATAGCTCGGCTTCAAGTAGGAAGGAGGAGGCGGGGGAATGCACCTCCTCAGAATAACCTGTAGCCTGGTGGTAGGGGTACTTTCTTCTAAATTTGGCAGTGGTGTCTTGATTAGGAACTAACTCTGTGGCTATTGGACAAAAGATGGGCACCACCACCTTGTGTGGTCAGAACTGAGGAAGAGTTTCTGTACTACTGAATTTTCTTCTGCTGTCAGGCAGGCACCCCTGCTTTGGCCACTATGGATTCCTACAGACAGCACTGAGAGCTCTGAGGGGGAGTGGGAGTTCAGACATGCTCTCCTGCCTGGCAAGTCGTATTTGTTCACCTCCTTACACAGCACCTGATACTCTGGATTGCCATTGGAATGTATGTAGGCCTCCTCACTCACTATCCAGGAAGCCTAGGCAGGCACCCAACCCCATTGATTTGGATCAGTCTTCTAGGCCAACACAACCAAATTTGTAATGTCCTATGGGGAGGCTCTACAAGGTCAATTTGGATCTAGCCCCTGGGGACTTGGTCCAAAATTTCAACTTTAGTCAAGTGTCTTTCAGACCTACAGATACTTTACTTATTACTGAAAGGATCCTTGGAAGTAGAGTGAGGAGCATCTGTAAAGGTTCCAGATTTTTAACGTTAAATTATACCTTTCCATGCGTGCAAGAAATGCATTCTTCCAGGTAAAACACTTCTGCAGAAATTTAGGAGTTTAAGAGAGAGTGGCTCTATTATTGGTGGATTATGTCTGGACATGATCATGTCCATGCTCCTGGGAGTCATCACAGCTATGCTGAGGCCTGTACTGGTTATGCCTTTAAAGGGATGGAAAAGGGTATTCGCCAGGTATGCTTCCTCCCAGAGGTCAGGAAACACAGAATTTAGAAAAAATATAATGTAATTCCCTTTACACACCATCACTCCAGCAGGGCTGGAAGGGACCATGACTTTCCTTATGCTCTATGCTTCATCTTTGTAGAATACATAAGTGGGTTCTGAGCACAGAGACTGATGGTGGAAATACTTCATTGTAACTTTGAAACATGGAGCCAAAGGGAGGAATTTTACTGTCAGGATGTTGCCATTACTGAGGAATTTGAATGTCAGCCATTAGGACTAAAAATGGGGGAGTTGAAAATGAGCCATTAGGACTAAAAATGCACTGATTAAAAAATAATAGGAGTAAAAAAATTATGTATAGTGAGACATGAGCAGGATATGAGCTTAAGGTATCATTTTGTAAATGATATAACTCTGGGGTTCTGGGAAAATACACTTTCTGGTTTTATTGCTAAATGCAAGGATGATGCATTTTTTCTTTGTTTGCTGGTTTTGCAAACTCAGTGTTACAAAATAATTAATTGTAAGAAATCACTGCCCTTCCTGTTATATAGGCATGCTTATTCAATCCATGTAAATAGATGTTTTCCCACAATTTTATTCAGCCTTTTAGGACTGCTGTTTCTTCAAATGTTCTTGATAAAAAGAAAATTAAGTAAAACAGGTGAACTGAAAATCCATGGATTACCCTTTTTTTCTCTTTTGACCAGTTAAAGCGTATTTCATTTTTTGATTCAGAGGAATTTAGGTCAATGCTGTTTATAGATTATCCTGGGAATAACCATTTCAATATTAAACATTTAAATACATATATGATAAGTCAATTTGGAGTGTTGTGTATACACTTAGAAGGACAATGTTACCTTGGACTGTTTTTGTCCCCCTCACCTTCCTCTGAATGTAACTTCTTTTTTCAATCCCACAGAGACCAAGCTGCAGGTCTGTTGTATGCATCTAAGCTTGAACATTTATGCCCTAGTTATTCCTATAATTAAGTTCCAAGTATTCTTCCTAATGCATCATAGATGTTTTAGACAGCATCCTCCAGGTTCTTTACTTCTGTGTGGAAACTCCATTCTACCTGTTATGCACATAAGTGGACTTCATTTCATATGTGAGATTCTATTCCATCCTGTTTAGCTCCCTGAATATTTGTTAATACAAAAGGTGGGTCCTCCTCACTGCTTTTTTGTACCCAGTCTTAAAGGTAAGATTAAAACGCACTACATAAGTAGGCTCAGTAATAGATTTTTAGGAACTCAAACAGGGTGGAATAGAATTGCACTTAGGTGCCTAAGTCCACTCTGCTTAGTAAGTGGAATAGGCACCTAAGTGCAATTCTATTCCACCCTGTTTGAGTTCCTAAAAATCCATTACCATTACTAAGCCTACTTATGTACTACTACTGCTTTCTTCTTATGTACATTACTTAGCCTACTTATGTACTACTACTGCTTTTTTCTACCCTGTTCCTAGTTTGGAGAGTAATATTTCCCCTATCATAGAACAAACTCATCCCCAACCCCTGTATCCTCTGACCTTCAAAACCCCATGTAGTAATTAAAAAGGCATGTCTACATTTGATGAGGAATTCTTACCTTCTTTCCTAGCTAGGTGCTAAGAGACCAGCTACCCTGTAAATTAACCCTTTTAAAAAGTCCTTCCCAGATAATATCCTTAGCAATTTGTTATTTTTTTCCTTTTTTCTCTATGACTTCTAGACTGCTTGGCCTTTTTTTTCTGTCTGTTGACCATTAGTGATGAGGAACAATAATGCATTTACTGAAGTGATTTTTTCCTCCTAAAAAAAATACTGAAGTGATTTTTTCCTCCTAAAATGTCTGAGGACCACAGCTGCATGAATGACATTTCCTGGGTGATCAGAGGGTCACAGGAAAGTAGTGCTGAAAGTTGATATTTCTCTATTGTTGTTGGCAGTCCCTTGATATGAGGATGATACTTTGTTGTGGGATATACTTTGTTGTGGGAAATGTTATACTTTTGTATTCAGATAATGGGGCCCACAAACTGGTTTAAAGAAGTATTCATGCAAATGGTCTGTGCAATGATAACTGTAATTTGGAAGACAGGTTAGAGCCGTACTTTTTAGGCTAACCAAAGTAGATGGTTGTATGTAGCACAAGCTTTTGTGAAGTGAAGCTCACTTCATCATGTGCTGTGAAATAAAATGCAGAAAGCAGAGTAGAAGTGAACATTCATTCCAATCACCTGCGAGTGACTCATATTTAAAAATATCATTTTAGAATATGATTAACATTCAAAGGAGGGCCACACGCATGATTAGAGGCCTGGAGGTGAAGACATATGAGGAGAGGCTGAGGGACTTGGGATTGTTCAGCCTGGAGAAGAGAAGACTCAGGGGGGCCTTGGTGACCACCTATAAATATATTAGGGTTGTACATCAGGGTTTGGAGGATAATCTATTTATTCACCAAGGCTCCCCAGGGAAGGATAAGAAATAGTGGGCACAAACTGATTGAAGATCGCTTCAGGCTAGACATAAGGAAAATTTACAAGCCTGCACCAATGGTTTGGAACAGGCAGAGGTGGCATAGTCATCAACCCTGACAATCTTCAAAAAACATCTTGTAGCCCATCTTTCTGGGGTTATCTGACCCCAGCAGTCCTTCCTGCCCAAGTGCAGGGGGGCTGGACCTGATGATCTGGAAGGTCCCTTCCAGCCCCTAACAACCATGAAACTATGAAAATGGTGACCAAGCAGTTAACCTTTGCTGAGAAGTTTGTGAAATATTGTCATTCTTACATAGAAAAATGTGGGTGTTTTTCCAGTGCATTAGAACTATTTACAATAATTAAAAGAAAATCTGATAAACCTAATTGTCATAAAAAATGGTTACTCTTCCATATATAGTTTATGTGTAGCATTGTGTCTCGAAATAAATATTTAAACTACATGAAAACTTACCTCACTATAGCATAGGAAAAAAAGGGTGGAATGAATTTACTAGGGTGTACAAATGAGTTAGGTGCTAACTTCCATGGGTTTCTAGTGTGAGCTAGGAACCCAACTTTTTTTAAGTACTCCTGAAAGATCTCAGCCAGCATTATTTAAACAGAATTTATAAAGTGCATCTGGCAAATGCTAATTCCCTCTTGCCTCATCTGTATGTTGCAGCACTGCTCAAGCCACATGCCTTGCTGATCAGCCTACATCAGTGAATGAATACAAATATCCTGAAAAGCTGCCAGGAGAGTTGTATGATGCCAACACACAGTGCAAATGGCAGTTTGGGGAGAAGGCCAAGCTGTGTATGCTGGATTTTAAAAAGGCAAGTGATTGTTATGAAATGTTTTGTACTACATTCATCCAGAGTTTTACCTCCTCTGCAAAGATTTTTTCACTGTGTGATGCTGTCTTAAAGTTTGCTTTTTAAACCATTTGCTGCAAAAGAAAGTACAGGGAAGAGAAGGATGAACTCGCCATGTGTCAAGAACTTGTTAAAATGAAAAACAGCAACAAAGCAAAATTGTTGCCTTGTTTAAGGAATCAGCAGACAAGGTTAAGGCAAGAGACTGATTTGTTAAATAAGGAATGTCAATTGGCAGTACATGAAGGCAAAATGCATTAGAGAGGGTATTATAGAAGGCTCCCATACAGCTCAAGCAATGCATGCAGAAAAAGTACAGTCTAGTAAGGTACATGATATAGTCATTGAAAAAGAGTAGCACAAATGTGTTTATAATTAGTCCAGCTGTTTTCCCTAAGCCACCATAAGTCTTGTAACAATGGGAGGCTATGTTTCAAATTTGTTCTCATTCTTTTGAGACTCATCTATATATCAACATACTGTAGATAAATTAAACAGAGAGTTCCCAACTGTTGACAGCTCACAATCTAATTAAGACAAAACATAGCAAGGGCTAACAACAAGCAAAGGGAAAAGTGTGGAAGGAAGATATGGGAAAGAGGAAATTGAAAAAGATGCTCAGCAGTTTAGATTTCA